TTCTTTATTGATAAGATAGAAGAAAAAATGTCAAGATCAAGAGGAAGGGTGTAGTCGAAATAGAGAGAAATTGTACCGACCACATTCCGGATAGAGTTCGGGTGGAGCTGATCTATGGTTACATCGAAGTGATTCAACACTTCAACAATGTGAGGATGCAGTGGAAGGCGGAGCCTAGCTGCGAGTTGTTCCCTGAAAATTACGATCTCATCATGACCGTGCTCCCAAGGGAAGTCGCCCGCAGGAAGGTGGTAAGTGTACTCCCTAGGAAGCTTAAGTTAGAACGGCACCTGAGAAGATGAAGAAGAAGGATTCCCAGGGATTTGCCCGGCGGGAATATTTCGAAGCTTAAATTAGAACGCTGGGGAGGAAGAAGAGAGAATATAAAAGGCTAAGAGTGTAGATCGCGCTAGATCACTATGTCTCGAGATTAGCTCGTGAGCAAGTAAGAGTGCATGTTCAGATCTAATTCGAGAGTCTGTCTCTCCGCTTTAAGGGCTTTTATAGGGGCGTTCTTGTCAAATCAGGCGTAACCGCCACTGGGCTCTTGTCACGGCCATTACCTGCCAAGGCTGCGCAGGTGATCATTACAACGTACAACCTGCTTGGCTGAGTGACACGTCTCCAAAGGGACAGGCACGCCACCATCTGTCGAGAGACGTGGGGCAGACTGTCAATCGGGCAGGGACTGCGCCGTTAGTTGAGAGACGTGGCATAGTCTGACGAGTACGGTCTTGTCAGATGGAAGCTTCCTGAGAGCGTCGCATCACAGTCGCAAGTTACTTTGTAGTGGGCTATCCTTGCCATGAGCTACTTTGTAGCAAGCTCTTAGGGGTACTTCGAGGTAACCCTCATCAAGGTTGGTCTTTGGGGCAGTTCTTCTGCCCAAGTGCTGGAGTGAGTTGGTTTCCCTAGCTCGCGAGCTGAAATAATCTTGGAGTATTCCCTTCTCAGTAGCTCGGGGGATCTGGAGCTCGCGTTGTAGCGAGCTTCCCCTATAGAGAGTTATGACGTAGCGAGCTGTTCTACAAACTCGTTACTCGGTCGCGGTCAAGCCAGGCTGCTGAGCTATTACTCGTGCTGAGTCAGGTCCACGTGTCATCATCTCAGTAGGTCAGGTCAAATCATCCTCCATCAATTGCCCCCCACTCCTCGAGCTAAGAGTGTTTCCTTAGCGCGAGGAGTTCATGGAGTGTGACGATTGATTTGACCGAAATTCAAACTTRATTGATTGCTCATATTAAATGCCTGCGCGGGAATCAGGGGATTTTCTATTGCAAATGGGCACTGATACTAAGTCTCTTTTGAACAATAAGAGTGTTATAGCAATGTTAGCTAGAGCATCCACTTTCTTGTTCTCACTTCTAGGTATATGCTCAATGCTTATGTAATCAAAGTGTTTCATGAGTTCAATCGCATAGCAAAAGTATGGGACCAAATCCAACATACACACATCATATTTTCCTAAGAGTTGGTTTATGTCTAATTTTGAACTTCCGCATAGACYGGGTGACAGATTTCCATATCTAAAGCCATCTTTAACCCAATAATTAGGGACTGATATTCTACTACAGTGTTTGAACATAAGCATGTCAAGGTGAAAGAGAAAGGCAATACCTCCCATTGTGGTGAGACAAACACCACGCTTGCTCCAGCACCATCATTTTGAGCAGCACCATCGAAGAACAACTCCCAAGGAAATGGAAGCTCAATGGAGAAGATTTCTCCATTTAGGAAGTCTTCAAGTAATTCCTAGTTTGCTGGGATGGGGTGATCGGCTAGGAAATTAGCCAATGCTTGACCTTTAACTGACTTTTGTGGGATGTATTCAATTTCAAACTCATAAAATAATATAAAACCGCTTGGCTAGCCAACAGAAAGTATTAGCTTAGACATGATGTATTTAAGTGGGTCAGTTTGGGAAATTAGGTGGATTGCATGTGCTAGCATGTAATGGCGCAACTTTTTTGTTGCAAAGATCAGAGCGAGACATGTCGTTTCAAACAATATAGAGCATTTTCCTTGCCTTGTTCATTTAGTTGAGCGAGTTAAGCACTTAATGATTTCTCTTGGGCGGCGATGTAGGGAATTAGAGGTTGCCTTGGGATTGGAACTGCCAAAACTGGAGGCTCGAGAAGATAATCTTTTATGCTTTTGAGAGCATTCCCACATGCCTCAACCCAGACAAAGGGACTCCCTTCTTCATTAACCTATTGAGTGGAATACATCTTCCTTCTAAGTTTGAAATAAACCTTTGAATGTAGGCAAGGCGACCTTGAAGACTTTTAAGTTCCTATAAGTTCCTACGTTCAGGCATATTTTGAATGGCATCACTTTTAGATTGGTCAATTTCAATGCTGCTATAACGTACGATGAATTGAAGAAACTTCCCAGATGTCACTCCAAAAGCGCACTTTAGGGGATTCATCTTTAGCTGATACCACCTTAACTGATTAAAGATCTTGCGAAGTCACTTAAGTGGTCAACTCTCTTCCTTTACTTCACGACCAAATCATCAACATAACACTCCACAGTGTTATGCAATAAGTCATAAAAAATATTTTGCGTGGCACATTGGTAAGTCGCGTTGGCATTTTTCAGCCAAAGGGCATGACTTTATAACAATAAATCCCCTTAGGGGTACGTAATGCAGTGAGTTCTTCATCTTTTGGGGCCATCCTAATTTGGTTGTACCGCGAAGAGCTATCCATAAAGGACAATGCTTCATATCTAGTGGTGACGTCAACCATCAACTCATTAATAGGTAAAGGGAAATCGTCTTTTGGACAAGCATTGTTAAGGTCCTGAAAATTGACACAAACTCTTATTTGCCCATTTTTCTTCCTTACTATGACAATATTGGATATCCACGTAGGATATTTTACCACTTGAATAAATCCAGCCTCAATGAGTTTATTAACCTCAACTTCAATAAGTGGTATAAGTTCGGGACAGAATCGACGTTGTACTTGTTTTACTGGACAAGCATCGCGTTTGACCATGAGGTGATAGACTGCTACCTTAAGGTCTAGCCCCAACATTTCCTTATAAGTCTAGGCGAACACATCTTTGAACTCTTTAAGTAGCTTAAAATATTGAGATTCCTCTTCGGGGCTTAAGAGTTCACTAACATAAATAGGTTAGGGATTCTCTTATTGTCCAAGATTTAGCTCTTTCAACTCATCCATAGTCGCTAGCCCCCCTTCCTCAAAGGAGGGCGGTGCTTGTTCGATTTCAGAATAAGAGGATGAGGTGTCATCATCTATGAGTTGCTTCACTATCACATGGTTACAATAGTCATGTTCTTCCTCTTCGGGTTTTTCTTCTTCTCCATGAGAAGTCGAGGCTTGGTTTATGAGTACCATTGTTCATCGTTTAACTGTTAGGGCATCAACAAGGGTTATTTCCAATGATGCCTAACACTTTATAAGCGAAGGGATAAAACTACAAGGTTCATCTCTCCCTTTCGCTACCTCCAGATCATTCATCTTCCTTGGATTTTTTTCTTAATGCCCCCAATCATTTGAACACTGAGGTACGAGGGTTCGGTGTTCCTATTCTGTCAAATGCTCATACTCGCTTGTTGACAGGCTTCTTAAGTTTTTCCTCTAAAACTTCAGCAGTAATGTGATAAGTGTTGGTTTTCTTTTGCAAAGATTTTTTTGGCATGGATCCTAACCTAGTTCTTGTTTGGGATATGGTGTGTCCATTTTCAAGCAATTTACATTGGGTCATTGTCAATGGTGTCACATGCTCATTGATAACTTCACCAATTTTCTTTGGTTCCCCTTTTCTATATCCAGCATTCTCAAAAAATTTACATACTTTAGGATTGAACCATCCCTCTGGACATTTCCCGACATGGGCCGATTTACTTTTGCCTTGTGATGATGCCATCCTCATTGCAAACCCCCTAGGAGGTGAACTAATGGTTATGGGGTTCTCTAATATTTTTACTGGGAGGACCAGTGTGTTTTTTAAGACCTCTGGATTTTTCTCCAAAATTACAGAACCATTACTCTTATGAGCAACTGCAAATGGAGGTTGTCCCTCTTTTCTACGAGATTTTAGTACATAACGAAGTATCGGAGTTACCCTTTCTAGGGCACCACTGGTGTAGGGAAGGTCTTTAGGCATGGATGATGTGGGTCAATGCCTTTAGGACTCGTGATTTTATTAGACGAGGGAACATAGACTGGTAATGCTTCTGAATTCACCTTGGCATATGCAGAATATGATTCAACACTTGTRAATGACTTATCTTTTAAAACGACACACTTCTAGGCGCCATCCTAGTAATACTTAAAGCATTAACATAATGTAGAAGTAACCACTCCTATCTTATGCAGTCAAGGGCATTTGAGGAGTAAGTGCTATGAGGTTCTAGCATCAATGACATGAAAAAACATTGAAGATGTCAAGTCTCCAATAATGAATTTAAGGTAGATCATGCCAACAGCCCGCTGTCCTCGGGCCTATCTCGAACATACCCTGTGATGTACAAGCGCCTAGGGACCCTAGTTGTAAATCTTCGTTTGAAAAGGTAATGGTGGCCATGCATGAGGCATATTCCCTTTGAATGACACTCCTTTCTTTGTATTCATTATAATTCGTAAGAACACAACTAACAACTTACAACACATCGAACCCTTTGGGCAATTGTAGTGTTGTGTATAGACTAAAAAGGGTTGGAATTTCATTAACTTGGTCGATGGCTTCGCCGATATCTATAATTTTGCCATATTTCCTTGATCCCATTGAATGGGAAACTGTTGGTTCCGATGATCCCGGAATATTCTATGGGCCTCATATCGGTTATGGGTGTGTCGCAGGCCCAAGTCTTGACTTGTCGGAAATAGATTGATTGACCAATGACCAGTACGGGGTATCGGATTCGAATAAATCGTAAATGGAACAAAGGTATCAAACGGGTTATATTCCCTATTTCCCTTCATTTTTCCTCCAGAGCCCAGAGCCAGAGTGGGCTTGAATGTGGCATTTTCGATATAATTAGGTAAAATCAGGGGTTTCTCGAGAAGCCGAGGTCTCTCAATTCTCAGTGAAACATCCAAGATGCAACTGCCTCTGCTGTCTGCTCCCTCTTTATCGCTAACTTCTCATCTCTCTGTCTCTCTCTCTCACAATCTGAAATGTAGCTTGAGCGCGAAGCGGAGAAGCTTCTTCTCTCATGGATGTCACGGCGTTAAATCTTTCGTACAAGGTTTCTATTTACGGGCGCTCAAACCTAAGAGTTGGTTTTCTCAACAGCTACAGCAATTCTTTCTCGTTTTCTAAACTCAGCTGTTTTACGGAACGCAGAAGCTCTGCAATAACTGTTTCATATCGAGCTCCTTCGGGCCCAGACCTCTCCAGAAACAGATGTACTCATTGCCTGCCCACAAATCCATTTTGTGTTCTAATCCCAGTTCTACAGAGCATCAGAGACTTTGCGGGCCTTGCGGCTTCAGGAACCAGAAGGGGCTATAAGTGGCTTTCCTGTTTGAGAGGATGCGGCGACTCGGGGGGAGTATCAAATGAATGGGGTGGTGACTACTTTCATAATGGAGGAATCGGCGTGGCTCTTCTGAGCGTGACCTCGACGGCCAAGGTTCGGATTAGTCCAGTGGTGGCAACACTCGCTGCCAACCCGACGTTCGTGTCTGGCTTGCTCGCTTGGGTGGCAGCTCAGTCTATCAAAGTGTTTTTGAATTTCTTCGTAGAGAGAAAATGGGATTTCAGGATTCTTTTTGCTTCCGGAGGGATGCCTTCATCACACTCGGCTCTGTGTACGGCTCTGACGACTTCGGTTGCACTGTGTCACGGAGTGGCCGACTCCTTATTTCCTGTCTGTTTGGGTTTTACACTCATTGTCATGTATGACGCAATTGGAGTTCGACGCCACGCCGGGATGCAAGCTGAGGTAAACGGGCTGGGCTTTATACGTTAGGCTTATTGTTGTGGCTCCAAATGTTCTTGTTTTTGTTTTTTCCACTTCAAAATTTCTGCATCTGTTTGACAGAGGTGTTATGTCTAGCCTAGTGAGGCAATACTTAAAAGGTTGAAATTAGCCTTCTAGATGAATCATCTGCCCGTTATGACTGCGATAGAAAATACTGTTTTTTGGTTGGAAAGAATCCTAGAGGGCTTTTCTGTGGTCAGAAGAAACGAGTGATAATAAATATATTTAGAGACCTTAGGAGTATACAAAAAGAATAGTGGTCCTCCTCGGAAACTCAACATTTATTAAGGACTGGGAGCTGCAAGTCATTGGCTGTTGATGTGAGTGTCGGCAACCGTCTTGAAGAGTTGGAGTTTAAACTATGTTTCTTTATAGATTGCTTTTTGCAGATAAGTCTATAGCTGCAAGGTCTAGGATCTTCCTGTAGGAGGTCAAATCTGGCAATGAATTGCCCACTGTTAATGCATAGATATTTGATAGGGGACCTACATTTCTTAGCATTTATCTTTCAAATCTATAGCTTTTCATATAAATGAAAGAAAGGAGGGGTTTTTCCCTGACAGGGTCATAGGAGAGTGTGTTTAATGCCCAAGCCTTTTCAATTCTAACACCAGTGAAGCTAAACATGTGGAGTTTGTAGAGGTGTCAGGAAACTTTAACATCCTATTGGGTTTGTCTAATTGTTTTGGTATTGGTAGGGTAGCATTCAAAGGATTTTTAACTTAGCAAGATTGACAAGTCTGCCTATGGCTCAAAGTAATCTCTAGTATGAGAATAGGGTGAGATTCTAGGGAGACTTTGTTATAGTTTAAAAACATTCTCATTCTAGTAAAATTGGCTTCCATCAACAGCCCCTTATTGGGTTTTAAGTTCAGCTGTTTTTATAATCATTTGGCAGCATGATAATTTTGCTCTGTAATTTCTTGTTTTTCATGTTCAGGGGCCTAATGCCCTTGCTGTATCTCCAGCGTGGAGGTAACCTCTCCCTCTGTTGCTTTTCTTTCTCTCTTTAATGAAATTCATCTTTCAAAATAAATAAATAAATAAATAAACAAACAAAAACATTCCCATTCAATTTTCGTCATGTATATCATATATATCTAAAAACATATTTTGGTCTCTCATTGGTGTTTTGTTGTTAATGGAATTTGTATAGGGTTTTTGGGATGGTGCCATGATGGTTGATTAGATTTACATACCTGTTTCTATTTGATCTGAATAATGGAGTTTGATCCTTAGAAATAAGCTATACCATTGATAAAGCAAAAAGAGAGTTGGCTGTTTTAACCCATTGGGTTGCATTGCTGTACACATTAAGAACACCATGAGGCAAATAAAAATGTGGAAATGAAGAAATACACATAAATTGGAAAAGAATAAAATGGCAAATTTTATTCCTCTCGTTTCTAAATCTCTTTAATCATTTTCCTTGGTTTGTCTCGTTTAGACCATCATCTTTGGTAAAAAAAGTGATTCTTCCTCATCATTAGGGCCATCCTGATGCAGGATTGGTGCTTGGTAGAGTCCACAGTGCTAGGTCTAATATAAAATTTGAGTGAAATTTGAAAATAAAATGATTTAATTTTGGTTTAGGTCTAGAATTTAGATTTAGAGTGAGAATAGGTTTGGGTTTGGATTAATGGTTATTTATGTCTATAGGGCTGTTAATATGACTAAGAAGTGTTTATAGCTCTGAAATTTCGGAAATATGTAGTAATCTCTAGGGTGAGAAAACAAGAAAATTCAAAGATCAGAAGCAACCTTTAACACCCATAGATTAGTCTGGTGCTATCATCTCTTCTCTGTATCTCCTTCCATTGGTTCCAAAGCTTGAGATCCTATAATCTCTGCTACTCTCACTCTTATATCCATGTATCTTCCGAGTACCATCATAGATGTTCTGACAAAGAAAGGGATTTGGTGGTTCACACCCTCAATTTGCAATTATTGCATTGATTGCCATTTTGGTAAACTGAACCAAGAGGGGACACTTCACGGCTGCAACTTCAATTACTCCAGTGGCAGGTTGGGGTTGCATGACACTCTGAAACACAGAATTGCAAATTCAGTAGGTTGTGATACTTGGAAATGCACTGATTGTGATCAGGCAGATGCAGGATCAAAACAAACCGATGCCTTGCAAGTACAAACTACAAACTGATCATTGAAGAACCAGAGGATTGATTTCTATGTTTCAATGGGTGGTTTCCTGTTACAAGACATGGCTGTTAAATGCATGCGCTAGTTCATCCACTTGATAAAAATGATTTAACTTAGCTGAATATCTCTTGTCTCAATGAACCTTCTCATTGTGTTTCTGATCTCTTATGGAACTTACCCCAAATAATAATGAATAAAATTTCTGTTCATCTGGGCAAATAAAATCCTGTCTATTCAATACCAGCATTTGTAATGGTCCGTTTGGTTGCCGAGAAACAATAGGATGAGAAGGGATGGGATGAGAAAGGAAAATTTATTTTCTCATTTTGGCACCCGTGTTTGTTTGTTGAGATGTATTATCCTACAGAATTTGGTTCTCAGTGTTTGGTTGATGAGAAAATTTTGTAGCCTATGTCCCAAGCGGATATTGCTTTGTGTTGATATTAAAGAGGCTACTGATTCACTGTGTAAAAATAGGCACCTCAGTGTTATCATAAATATACATTATTACAGCAACCTGCCTTTCCCTCCCTATTTATCCGAACAGTAAAAGACCACAATCAGAATCTTCATTTAATGAAATATGAAGATGCAAGAGAACGAAAAGAGTCTTGAATAAATTTCCCTAACACTTGTCTTGTACCAAAATAACTTTCAACGAACTCTAATTACCACCTCAGGATGACCCCTTATCTTCATCCTGTTTGTTCCCTGACTTATGGTGCTTCAACAGTGTGTTCCATAGTAACTCAAACCAGTCCCTTGTTGTCCAGTCCTTTCCTGCTTTCTTTTTCCTGTAAGCAAGCAGAAGGATAATCTCATAGTTGAGGTGAATAATGGCAACTGACTAAACTACAGGTTATAGCCCTCCAAAAAAGAAAACTAATAGAGCATGTGTACCTTCCCCCCACAAAAGATTCTGTTCTTATTCCTAGATTACTGTCAAAGTAACCCATTCACATGATAAGAAGGATATCTGGTCAGACCTTACTAGATGAACTGCTACTTTGGTCTTACCTTGATTTTCATCAAATAGATAGAGCATCTAATTTCTGATGGTTTTTTCATTCACATGAACAAGGGAAAAACTGCAGGAAAGATTCCTTTATTGTTTTTGCATTTCATGGACATAGGAGGCCAAACCAGAGTCCTTGTATTCTTTTCTAGAACTGCCTAACCATATCTGCAGAGTTGTATCTGGATAGGCAGGCGACTCTTTCTTTATTCATTCTGGAGTTGCAGGATTAGTAGTCAACATATACAATCCAAGTACTCCAGCCCAAGGTTCAAAATATCGATAAGCTGGTAGGGGCGTATCGGGTGAATCAATACCCTTGTTTTTGCTTTTATTTTTTATTTTTTTCGAAACCAACTCGGGGGGGGGGGGCGGTTTAGGGCTCCTCCACCCCCTAAACTGGTCAGGCCCCCGATAAACCCACTATAGGGGCGTATTGGAGGGGTTCCGGAACAATACGTGTCGATACTTTGAACCTTGCTCCAGCCTACTCTTTACATGCTTCTGTATGTGTTCAATCGGTTGACTCAGATCAGGGCACTGCAGTATTATGATCTCCCACAAGTTTTCAAGCAAGGTATCCATGGCACATTAATGACAACCAATAGACTCAAAATTCTGACCACTCATCGCTTATTAACTGAAGAACTAAATCCAAATCGGATCCCTTGTATAATTCCAACCAGGAAAGACCACAACTAGAGAGTTTGGAAGAATAAACCCAACTAACAAACAACCAAGCAGAGAATATCCCTAAGAACGCTAAAGAATGTGAAATTAAAATAATTTTTTCACCTGGGCTTCGCTAAAACTCGAATTAAAAAGAACTCCCATTGGCTATAAAGCAAGATATTCAAAAGGCATGGAATAAACTGAAAGTAGCTAAACAAATTTAAACAATACCATAGAATATAGATACAACATAATTAAGCATAAATAGAGAGATCTTCATGTATTACTTCAAAGAAACAAAATCATATACAGAGACGAACCAAATACAGAAAAATGAAACTATGAAGCTTAATTTGGGTTATTTGACTCAGAGCTAAGAGAATGAGAGGTAACTTACCCTTGTTCCCATGGCATCAACTGGCCTCTGGAAGCTATGGACAATCAGAGAAGTCCAGACTCCACAGTTCAAAAGACAGTCAGAATTAAACCGAAGAGACCAAGGGGCAGAGAGTTGCTTCCGGTCTTTCTTAACTTGAGACTTCGGAGACCTCAGAGTCAGTTGAGAGTACATTAGGTTTTCAAAGCATTTCCTCTCAGGAAATAAAACAAAAATACACAAGTGAAAGCAAGGAAAGTAATGGAGAGAGAGCTATTACCTTTCCGCAGTTGAATGGAAACATTTGAACCCTACGGACAAACAAAAAACAATGGATAAAAATGTTAGTCTTCAATATACATACGTAGATCTATAAAAACCATACCATGATATCGCCAGAAACAATGGCTTTTAACCAGCGAATGACCGTGTTACCACCGGCGGGAAGAGAGCAAGAAAGACAAAAAGGGGAAGAAAAGAATCGCCAAGGTTCAGGGGTTATAGATCTGGTCTTACCTTGGCTGGATATTGCCTGAAACATTGTTGGAGATTCAACCATTGTCTAGGTGTTGAGGCAGTGAGAGGATGGCTCTATCCATAGTCGAGACAGCCCGATGTTTTTTTCTCAGTGTTTTTCTCTTTCTCACCGGGGTTACACCATATCAGTGCGACCCCGCATCTTAAGTTTTGGGAAACCACACACCACTATTTCACATCCCATCTCGTCAACCAAACGCC